CTTGGTGTAAACCTGGGCCTTAAGTAGGCCAGTGTCTTTACTCACTCAAGACCCTGTTACCTGGAGTCCAGCTACCCCTCTCCCCTTGGACAGGTAACTGTATACCATCCTTTACCACCTCCCAAGAGTCCCAGTGCTCAATCTCCTTCTCCTTCTCTCCCTAATCCAATAAGAGAATGAGCTCATATAAGTTAGCGGGCTAGAATGACATGATATATTAGCTCGATCAGTCACTTTTATAGGGACAGCTGACCAAATAAGTCTGACTCAAATAAATATAAGTCCCACCCACTCAGCCCACCCCAGGGCTTGTCCTGAATAACTTGAAGGGAGTTGGAGACTATTTCTTGCTTTATCCTGCAGGTAGGTGGCATTAACTGCATGCAATAAACTGCATATTGCAATCTAAACTAAATTGCACATTATTGCAAAAAGTCACGTGATTCTAGACCTTGATTTTGCAGGTCACAGTACATTCCTAGGAGGCTGTATTGCAAAGAAAGTTTCCCAAGTAGAATGGGAGGCATACTTTCCAGATTGATGATTAAAGGAAATGTGTGGGCTAGAATCAGCTCGGAAGACTTGGATAACTTAAACCTTCCAGTACCTTCAAAGGTGTTACCATTTTCACTTGGCTATATTTAGTTTTCTTTGCTTTTTGGAAAAGAGATGAGGCAGCTCCCGTCTGTGTCTCCCTTGGCTTTCCCCAGACACCGTAAATGATATTGGCAGGATCCCAGCTCCACCACTCATAGAACGGAAAGCTATTCTTCTTTCCCTTGCCACATTTAATAAACTTTATCTAGAACAATTTCTTGTGTGGTGGCAAAACACAGCACTTACATAACATACTATTTCAGGAGCACTGTTCTCTTGGGCTCAAATCACAGCCCATTTTCCTTAGTGCTATGATTTAGAGAATGCTCTGCCTCAGAGATTAAGGGCCCCTGATACCAACATTATAAATGTTGAGATTCTGTAAAGATAGGTAAAAAGAAGTCAGGCAGATCTCACCAGCCTAAAGGAAACCAGTGGCCAAACACTGCCCTCTAGAAATAGCCAGAGCAGGTCCATTTTTTAATTATTTCTGGAGGCAGCTAGAGGTAAAATGCACATTCTTTTTTTAAAAAAATTAAAGTTTATTGGGGTGACAATTTGTTAGCAAAGTTACATAGGCTTCAAGTGTACCGTTCTGTAATACATCATCTATATATCACATCACATGTTCACCACCCAGAGTCAGTTCTCTTTCCATCACCATATATTCGATCCCTTTTACCTTCATCTACCACACCCCTGTCCCTTTACCCTCTGGTAACCACTAATCTATTGTCTGTGTCTATGAGTTTTTTATTCTTTGTCTTGTTCCTTTGTTGCTTTCAGTTTTATATCCCACATATCAGTGAAATCAGATGGTTCTTGATTTTTTCTGTCTGACTTAGAGAAAATGCACATTCTTCAAGGCCTGTCATTTTGCCACTCCATCTGTCTAGATCTGGGGAAGTAAAAACCAGGTCCCATGTGCTCATCTGAGGTTGTATGCAACTGAGGGACAGAGTCATATTCATCTGGACAATTAAGTGCTGGGGGAGCCATGAGGAAGCAGGGTCCAGGCTCAGACCCAAAGAAGGCAATATGATTGGATCATTCAAAAATGTAGAATTCGAGGGCCAAGATCTAGGCAAGTTCATAGATTCAAAAGGTTGGTTCTGAATGCAATAGGACTGCCTCAGGAATCAAGCCAAGTGGTTTGATACTTGCTTAGGATGGACCTTCTAATAACTCTGCATAGCCTAGGGCAGTGTTTCTCAGCACAGTCACACTGACAATTTAGGATGTGGATAACTGTTGCGGGGCCGTCCTGTGCATTGTAGGATGTTTAGCAGCATCCTTGGCCTCTATCCACTAGAAGCCAGTAGCAAACCTCAGTTCTGACAACCAAAAATATCTCCAGATGTTGCCAAACATCTTCTGGGGGCCAAAATTGCCCCCAATTGATAACCAACCACTGGTCTAGAATAACCAACCTTCTCAATTTACCAGTGGGTTCTAGGGTACAAGACTTTCAGTTTTAAAACTGAGACTGTCCTAAGTCCCAAGTCCACCCTAACTCTACCCTTCTATTGCTAGAATCTCCTATCTCTGGGGGCTTTTCAAACCTGCATATGTCTCATCTGGGCACCTTAGTCAAGTGCAGGTGGGGTGGGGTTGAAGAACCCACATCTCCAACAAGCGCCCAGGTGATGGTGGTCCTGCTGGCCTGCAGACCTCACTTGACGCACCAGGGGCCTGGGTTGCAAAGGCCATCCTTTCCACTTGAACCAAGGCTTTTTCAGGACTGATTCTGTGGGGGTCAGCCCCCTGGCTGTTGGAGCACTGCTTCTCAGCACCGGCTGCACTTTAGCGTCCGAAATTCTGATTGATTTTGTCTGGGGTGGGATTCATCAGGGTAGGTTCTTAAACGTTCCCAGGTGACTGTGATGTGGAGCCAAGATTGAGAACGCCTCAGTCAGAGAGCTAGGGGCTGTCACAGCACCTATGTATCTGTGAGGAGACTTTGAAGAGGTGCTGACCATGGCCTCATGCACCCTCGCCTGTGAACCCGGAAGTGAGGAGGCCCCCTTGTGGCCCGGCACTGCCTGCACGCAGCGATCCGCCCGTATTGCAGGTGGCTGCTCTCCCTGGAGGGCTAGAATGAAATGCACTCTGCACTTGAAATGATGACCGTGGGAATTATTTCCTCCAGTAACTTCCTCAGGAAGGAGGAATCTTGAGCCAAAGGCAGACATTGGGCAGGGCAGCAGTGGTGGAAACCTTTAATTCCATGAACATTTACAGGGCCTGTGCTCCGTGCGTGGGAGTGGAGGCATGAGTCACCCATTTCCCTGCAGGGCCTGCTGGCTGACGACACTACACTAACACGTGGCTCTGACCGGGTAGCAGTGGGTGCTGCAGCATGGCCCCGGGCTTGACCTGCGGAAGAACTGCCTTTTGCTCTCTAGACTCCTGGACTGTGGGAAGTGCGAGTGATCAAGAAAGTGGGTGATGCAGCCAAACAGAACCTCACTGCTGTGTCCAGAGTCACAAGACCGAACCAACCCCAACCCCCACTCCCTCCCCTGTTCTCGGTCTGATGGTGAACTGAGGCAGCCAGGACCACTCCCCATCCTCGAAATGTCATCCTCACTGGCTTGTCCCTAGCACCTAAAAGTTAACCTCAGTGACGAGGAAACCAGCATATGGCACAGAGGTCTTTGAAGCTGCAAATAGGAGACGGGATGGGAGAGAACTGAATGCCTATGGTGAAAATTGGTTTTAACAGCTTCTTTCTCTTCATTGGAAAAATCATGTCAGACTGGTACAGAAAAAGCTGGAAAAAATGTGGAGCACTACAGGGAGAAGGTTTAGGTAGCTGACAGTTCTGCCGAAGCGTGGCCCAAGGCCTACATGAGGCATTTCTTATTGCATGAGGGGATAGCAAATGGAATGGTGGCCTTGAACTTCACCACTCCATATCTGGATCCCACCCTATCTTGGGATTGTCCCTTCCCAAATCAAAGTAGCCACAGTTAAAACCTTGATCCTTGATTGGCATTGTATTTTATAACAGCAAAAGTGCAGTTTGGAATATTCGGCACATTTTCTCTAGTAAGACTTTATTGAATATTAAATTTCCTGCACATTCTTTCTTTACCCAGAAGTAGGAGAGTTTATCCTTGAGGAGAAGATGGGGCACTAGGGAAAGTAAAGCAGATCCTGACTCGGGTCTTGATACCCAGCATGTTTGTTTTTTCTCCTTCCAGTCAAGAAAAAGGAGGTGCTGGTCAGAGCCAGTGAGTACATGGGCCAGCTGCTGGAACAAGCGTCCCTGCACTTCTTCGTCACAGCTCGTGTCAATAATACCGGGGATATTCTGGCCAAGCAGAAGTCCATTGTGCTGCTAATCCCCAAGGTCATCATCAAGGTCAGTTTCAGCATCCCAGACAGGGGAGATCAGCAAGGTTGTTGATTAGCTATCCAGGCTCATTTTATTTTAGTGTTTGTGTGTGTGTGTGTGTGTGTGTGTGTGTGTGAATGTGTATGTATGTGAATGTGCGTCCTGCTCCACAAAAAAACAAGTGGAGCTACAATCCTCCTGTTCTTTGAAAGAAGTAAACAGCCCTATATATAGACAAGCACATATAACACTTTTCTCTCCTCTCCATATTTAAATATATAGATCTGGCTGCAGATATAAATATAACCTGTGGGTATAAACACACTTGTGGAGGAAGATAAAGATGTGTAATGGATGCAGATACTTAGAACTCTTACTGTCTCCAGCATAAAGTGGGTTGGGCATGGCATAAAAGGGAAACCACTTGGATCATCTCCCACCTGCCTTTTGGACAGTACTATTATTCATTGAGATGTAATTGTATACAGTGGAATGCACAAACCAAAATGTCAGCTTGGCGACAATGTATATACCTTGCAACCACCAGGCAGATGAAGACGTAAAGGATTTCCAACACCCCAGAAAGTTCCCTCATGCCTTATCCAGTAAATAACCTTCTCCACCATCACCAAGATAAATACTTTTTCTGACTTTTGTCACCATAGGTGTTTTTTGGCCCATTTGGCTAGGAGTTTTAACATTATCTCTCTATTTACCACCCAGAATCTCTACCCAAATGGCTCAAAGAAACTTGGCAGAGGAGGGCTGAATATGGTAGCCTGTTTGCTCCCACATTTCAGTAGCACTGGCCACATCTGTAGCCACATCCCTGAGATACCGTCCTTCCCTGTGAGCAGGAACCCAGGCTTCCAGCAGGGTCTTTGAGGGTGTGACATCTTATGCCAGCCTTATCCAGATCTTAGAGACCTTCCCAAGTTGCTAGAAAACATTTTTCTTGAAGTGATTAAGAGTGATTAGCACAGATCCTAAGTTGCATTCTCCTAACATGATAGACAAATCAAAGTTTAACAAAACTGCTCATATTTAAATGCCCCTGGGGGGAGGGGGGCAATGGGTGGGGAAAGGGAGGTAGGCCTTGTGTCTTATGAATAATTTTCTGTGAATCATTTGTAAAACTAATAAATGTGGTGTAGCATTCAAAATGGCAGCTTTCAGTGGGTCTAGAGCCATGTGGATGGCTTGAGGACTACTATACAATGAGTCACCCAAGGTCAAGGCTTATCCAAACACAGACATGTAGTCTCCGTCATGTACAGGGTCTGCAGGAGGACTAGAAAACAAATGCAAAACAGAGAAGTGGTATTGGGGTTCTTCCATAGATGCCATCAATCCCGTGAGAACATGAATGCAATAGCATAAGGCGCTAGATACCATAAGCAGGGCTGGCCTGCCTACCACCCCCAAATGGCGCGCTCTCCCTGAGAGACATGTGGTGCCCTGCAGGCCTCTCCCAGCTGCACATAGAGTCATCCTTTATCCTTTCCCACTCTTGATCATGAACTCAGTCTAGGAAGCTTTCCCACCAGAGGCAAAGCCAATATGTTCTCTGTAATTATGAAATGATGGCTTGTCCCTGTGAAGGGCTCAGGAGAAAGTCCTTCCAAGCTGTGAAGTGCTCAAACCACAGCACAAAATAGAATTTAATTGCACCACTGATGATAAATTGGATGTATAAAGGAAACTAATAAGTTTCATTTTTTAGATTATTAATTCGAAGGATTATTTGTTAGTTATCTTCTGGTTTACTTAAAAAGCAGTTTCATTCCCCAGGGGCAGAATTGAACTACCTTCTCCCACAAGTGTAGTGACCTGGGCAGGAAGGGTGCACTTTTTAATAGATCTATGTTTTTGTTTTGTTCTGTTTTTAATTTCCATAAAAGTATCAAGGATGCTGTTCCTGGAGGAAACGTATTTAGAAGTAGGACCATTTGACTAGGACTCAAGCATGAGAGAAATGGAAATTCTGGCTTCTGTCCAGTGCCAAGATTGTTCAGGAAAGGAGGCAGGAAGTGCCCTCACATAAGCTGCCCCTTAACCACTAACCCCATTAACCATATTAACCCCAAGGACAAACTAAATCTGAGCAGGTGTGTCTTGATAAAGCATCTGCCACTTTAGAAGCCACTCAGGTGTCCCTGAGCTGTAAGAGGCCCTGATTCCAGAAACTCTGGCTAATGAACTGGGGACCTAGAAGGCTGCTTAGCCTGCTGGAGATATGAAATACAGAGCTGTGACATCCAGATGGCAGTTGTCATCCTGAAAGTGACTGAGGGAGGGAAAGAAGACACAGCAAAGAAGGGAAGGGGGCCCCAAGGGGGGAGAAGAGAAAAGAGGGGAAAGGAGGAGAGGAAAGAAGAGAGCAGAGGGGAGGGTAGAGGATTGCAGAAGGAGAGGAAGGAAGAAGAGGGAAGGGGGAGGAGGGAGGAGAAAGAAAGCGTTACATTGAAGTCTTACACAGGAGACCTTAGAGGAGTCAAATAAATTGAATAAAACAAGAGCTGGAGAGGGCGCTAAATAGAGTGAAAATACAAAAAAAAAGCACAATGGTTCAGAGGTCCAAAATCACCTAGGACACACCCCTAAATTCTAGGAAAATACTAGAAACCCTTGTCAATCTCTTTGAGCCTAGGACAAGCCCACAGCTGACAGAACCTTTCAGCGTCTGTGATGAATGTCCCGGCACAAGGGACACGAATGACTCCTGTCCTCATGGACAGGAGGAAGGATGAGACCAGCATGTGGTGATGACAATGATAGCAGCTATGAATTATTGAGCTCTATATTATTATGCTCCTCTTGTATTATTTTATTTAATCCTGTTTACCATCTTATGAGGTAGGTATTATTCTAACACCACTTTATAGATAAGAAAACTGAGTCCCAGAGAGGGTAGCATGGTGGTCAAAACATGAGCTTTGAGACCAAACTATCTGAGTTCCAAGCCTGTTTTCTCAACATAATAACTGTAATTCTGGACACATGATCTCTCTTTGTGTGTTTTTCTCATCTGTAAAAGAGAGATAATGGCAATACTTACTCATAGGGTAGTTGTGAGTATATAATGAGTTAATAGATACCCAATGCCCAACTGTCAGTAAACACTGAGTATATGTTGGTTGTTGTTATTGTTGTCATTATTACAGTTCATAAGCAACTTGCCCATGATCACATGCCTAATAAGGGAAGGAGTGAAGGTTCTAACCCAAGTCTCTAACTCAGAAGTCTATGCAGATAACCACTAGTTAAGAACAAGCAGCAAACTTGCTGCCAGGCAACCCCAGTCGCAGACTGAGCTCGGGATTCCAGAATAAGAAACTGCCTTAAACTGCAAAGGCTTTGAAGAGAAGCGGAGGAAAAAAGAGGACCCTACCGTTGGGAAGGCAGAGTTGACAGTAACGTTACATTGCTCTCACACTGGAATTTTCACAGACAGTAGAAGATGGTGACTGCCTTAACAAGAGTCTGTGATTTTCAAGGGAGTTTGTTTGGAGTGAGGTATCAGGCAATAAAATTAAGGCAGTAAAACAATAGATGATCCTCAGTGAATGGATAACTTCTCAAGCAGTAGAGATGGACGGAGAGACCACTCCAGATCCTAGAAAAAAACATAAGGCAGGACAAGGAGAGAGGTGGATGGCAGGCGTAGGGAGCAACTAGAAGCTTGCGTTGGCAGGAGTCAAGGCTGGGAGCAGGGGACCCGTGGCAATAAACCTAGAAATGCAGCTTGGGGCCCTTTTAAAGTGAGCCTAAAATTTTTGGATGAGAGCTTTATAATAGACTCTGTGAACACAGGCTTCAGTGAAGATCCTAGAGCATAAATGTAACATTACTATCAACTCTGCCCTCCCAAGGGTAGGAACCTCTTTTCTTTCTCCCTTCTCTTCAAAGCCTTTGCCCAAGGCACTCTCTTATTCTGGGAGTCCCCAGCTTGACCTTGGGACTAGAGTTGCCTGGCAGCAGGTTTGCAGCTGTTCTTAACTAGCCCTGTTTTTAGAGCAAATAGAGGCCAACCTGGAACAATATTGAGCCCACCTGTCTGAAGCCACATCATTGCCAACCAAAGCAAGTGGCCGGTGGACACATACTTACATCCTAGTGGACCCAGTCTTGGATTTCATTCTTCCCCATGATGATAAGTTAACTATTCCCGGCACCCACCATGCATGAGTCATAATGTGTGATTCTCACATGGAAAATGGCAGGGAGCAACATTCATTAAACTTTAATGAGCACACATCTTTTTTTTTCCATGCTATCAAAATATTTTGATGAGAAAAGTATCTTTCATTAAAATCAAACAGAATTTTTCCCTGCCTTCCCAATGTGATGATGGTTGTAAGATGCTTTAAGTCAGAAAAAGAGTCTTCAGCATTTTGATTTTTAATGAACAGCTATTATTTGGAGAGGATGGAAGCAGCAGGGCGGGGAGAATTCAGCTGGTCTCCAGGCTGGAGACTGGTTTGCCTGGAATCTGTGGTAACATGAGAACAGCGTCCTGGAGGGTTTCTCCCATTCTCAGTTAGCAGTGAAGGTTTCACATTTTTCATGTTCTCACCCAAGTCAACTACAGCAAGACCACCAAGAGGGACACCTGCAGCCCCTTTGTAGAGGCAGAATAGCACAGTGGCTTAGACACAGCTGCAGTCAGGCCACATGGGTTCATAATCCTACCTGGGCTGCTTTGGGCTAATTACTCAGCCACCTCGGAAGTAAGCTGGATCCAATAATAGTACTGACCTCATTGGGTTTCTGGGAGGGATCGTTAAAAGAATTCACATAAAGAGCTTAGCATGGTGCCTTGATCATAGTAAGTGCTCAGTGAAGACCAGTGTCTATTAGTTTCCACCACACATATCTAACCTCCACTTCGTTTTTACTTCTCTTCCTCCTCCTCTTCCTCCTCCTCCTCCTGCTCTTTCTTCTCTCTTTCTCTCTCTCTCTCTCTCTCTCTCTCTCTCTCTCTCTCTCTCTCTCTCTCTCTCGTATACACACACATCCTCTCTCTC